TCTTTCGTTTTCATTTTTATTAATTTCTTCATTTTTCATTTTCAGTGCAAGTGACATCGACCTATTTAATGCAACCCATGCAACCCCGCTATGGATATGTATATGGAAATGGACACGGACATGGAGTTTATGAACCTATGTACCATTAAAACATTTCATTGTCATCAACATGTGTAGTAAAAAGTTGCCGATAGCGAACAATTGTGAAAAATCGAAACATAACCATATTTTTGAATAAAATATTTTCATTTTTTGGTTTTTTATTTTCTGAAATGCTCTTAAGCCGAACATAAATAGCGAGTATTTTTATTCGCAATGGATAATAAGTCCGTTCAAAATATCATGGATACAATATGGCAATCCAACAAATATTTTTACAACAATGGAATCAAAATCGGCTAACAATCGAATGACAGATGATATAAATCATAAAAATGAATCACAAATATAAGTCGAAATATTCTATTCCAATTGATCTGCCAAATGAATTGCTGAAAAAAATGAAAAGACCTGTTCTTTTTTTCCGCCAAAAATGTTTCTACAATTTATTGAAATTTTATTTTTTCAATTACATTTGAGTAGCTGTTTCTTCTTCTTCTTCTTCTTCTGCTTCACCATCGTTCTCCGATACGGGATCGTAGTCGATCAATTCGCTTAAATCGATGATTTGACCACTTGCGGTCAACCCATCGATGTCAGACTGTTTGTAAGTCTTCTGCTTACCAGACTGTTCAGCGGAAACAGTCTTTTTAGCTTCAATAGTCTGTTCAGCTTGAACATTCTGTTCAGTTTGAACAGTCTGCTCAGCTTGAACATTCTGTTCGGCTTGAACAGTCTGCTCACCTTGATTAACAACAACAGGTAGTTGAACAGGTGGTTGAATGGCAGCTTTTTTATTTGCTTTTGGTTTTGGTGCTGCTGCTGCTCGTTTTCGTGTTGTGGGAGCACTCGGTGCTGTAGCAGCAGCAAGCTGCTGAGTGCGTGCCATCTCTTCCACACAAATTTTAAAAAGCTCATTGAAATTTGTTAAAATTTCAACGGCAAACAGATCACCCGAACTTTCGATAGTGTTCATGTTTGTCGAAAAGTCAGATGAGAATTTGCGAGTTAATTCAGTGAATTTCGATTCAATATCCGCTACCATGTTGTCCATATTATTTGCAGCTGCAATAATCAACTTTTCAATTTTCAGTAACTCCATTACGGATGTCACCGCTAAGAAACTCATATCACCGGTTATTGTATTTACAATATTATAACAAATGGACGCACCGATAAGTTTTTTTGAAACACAAAATTCTATTTCGTCTGTAAGCGCATCATATGAACTCATAGTAGATGGATATGAAAAACGAAATTCTTCGAATTGACGTAAGGCTCTACACACTTTTTTAAACCCCGTAATACCATTCAAACACATTGACCCCTTGTTGCCATCAATAAGAATGTCGACGTAAAACCCACTGGCTTCAGAAGATAAGAGTTTTGATTGTGGTTGAATACCAATAGTTATCCATTTAGAGTTACCCGAAGTTAGGAAATATCGTTTTGCCATGAAAAGTCGACCGTTGGTTAGTTGATCAAATGGTTTTGGCTGGAATATTGAAATTTAAAATAAATTTATTGTAAACTTTTGAAGTAAATATATCATAAATGAATAAATAAGTAATATTTTCTTACTTGATTGTCATGTCCATTATAATAACCGAAGTTGTTCCCATTGTTCGCTTGTCCGTTGGAGTTTTGCCATCCTTGTTGTTGTTGTTGTTGCCATCCTTGTTGTTGCCATCCTTGTTGTTGCCGTCCTTGTTGTTGCTGCCATCCTTGTTGTTGTTGCGGCTGTAGATATTAAAATTAGATAATAGAAAATA